CGCCTCGCCGCGCCTCGCCTCGCCCCGCCCCGCCTCTCTTCCTCGACTGAGGGAACAAGGTCTGCACAGAGGTGGCCCTGGGTGGCCAAGCACCTGGGGACAGATGGCCCATACGTGCACAGCCCCAGGCACAGGAGCTGTGGATCTCCCACCCAGCTGCAGGCACGCGGGTCCCTGCTGCCACCCCTCCCCACTGACCAGGGGCAGGATTTAGAGGAGCCACTGATCTCACCCCAGAGTATCCTGGGGAGGCCCGCAGATGACCCCTCCACTCAACAGGTCCAAAGCAGAGCTCATCACCTGCCGCCTGGGAGCCCAGCACCTCCATCCGGTGTGCCCAGCACGGGGCTGTCCGGGCTGAGTCATCCTGGATTCCCGGCCCCCCCACACCCCACCCACAGCTGCCCTCCCGTCTTCTGAGCTGGGCCGCTCTTTGCAAGGTGCATGTCTGAGCATGGCTCCTGGGGGCCTGGAGCCCCCGTCGGGCCTCACCCACCACCCTTCCTCACCTCACCTCCCCGCAGGCTGGGACCCTTGACTCTGTGACACGACACATGCCAGTCTCCATGGCTATTAACCCACCTGGTCCCCGGGCTGACCTCCGGTCATCCTTCAGGGCCTGGCTCCGCCCGCGCCTCTGTGGGAAGCCCCTGCCCGCCCTCGGCCTCCCCGCTGCTCACCTGGGGGCTCCGTGGGACAGGGCTGCAGGTCGCAGGCCTGCCTGCCGACGGGCTTCAGAAGGGGGTCGCAGCCTCGGACGATGTCGGTGCCCTGGTAGCACTTGACGTCCCGCACCCGCACGCCCACGCCGCAGGTCTTGGTGCACTGGGGGGGACAGAGCACGTGGCAAAGCCCCACCTGGCGGCCCGAGGGAGCCCGGCCACCTCGCCCGGCTGCTGAGCCGCAGCTGGCACGGGGCACACGGGAGCTCGAGGTGATGAGGGGAGGGAAGGGCACTGGCTGGCAGCCGGGAGGCTGAGACTCCGCCCCGCCCAGTGCCGCCTCAGTTTCCCTGGGAACCCCCTCCTCCCTCGACTGTCGCCCCAGGCTTTCCTGGGTGCTGTGATGCCCAGGACGCCCGGGGCCAGGGCCGGGGTGGGGACTGCTGGTCTTCCACTCCGTTGAAGAGCTGTGTTCGTTGTGGGCCAGTTAAACAGGTCGTCCACAGCCACCACGCCCACCGCGGGTCCCTGCCCAGATGTCCCCCAGGAAAATCCTGCCGAGCCACCCAGAACCCAGGACAGCTGCTGGCCCATTACCGCGCCGCCCGCCTGCCAACACCCTGGAGGCGGTGGCTCCCTCTCGCTCCTGCCGTGTGGGTGACCCCACACCACCCAGGCCCGTCCGGGACCTGAGCCCTCGGTTCCCCGGGCCCACCCTCCGGTCCCTTTTGCAGAGGCACAGAGAGAATGAGACTTGGAGGGCCGTCTGCTCGATGCCCGCTCCGATGCCCAGTCTGAAAGCAACGCGAGGCCGGCCTGGCCCCGAGCTCAGGGGACGATCAGCCTTGGGTGGCTGCCCCCAGGGGCTTCTGGATGCATGGGGATGGGGGGAGGGGCAGGTAGGCGGCATGAACTCTCACAGAGACAGTGCGGAGGTCCCCACACCCACTGTCCATCCATGCTGGCCACCCCTCACCCACCCACCGTCATCGGGGCAATACGGGGATGCCCCTCCCCTGACGCTGTCCTTTGGGGGTCCCCCTTCATGGCTCTCCTCCCTGCCGTGGCTAAGCAGCCAGCATAGCACCTGCCACTCGTGGGTCCTGGCCCACCCCCCATGGCGGCCTTCCCACCTTCTGAAGCCAGATGCGCTTTCCAAGGTGCAGGGCTCAGCCTGGCTCCTGGGGACCTGGAGCCCCCGTCAGGCCTCGCCTACCGCCCTTCCCAGCCCCACCTCCCCGCCAGGCTCGGCCAGTCTGGGGGGGACCCTCGCTCTCCCACGTGCCTCGGTCTCCATAGCCACTAGACCTTCCTGGTCCCCCTGGCCGATCCCTGCTCGGGGAACCCCCGCCCCGCCCACAGCCCCCTTTTTCTCCCCTGGGGGGGTCCCTTATTAGGCAACACAGAACACATAAATGCCAGTGCTCTCCCTTCTCGATGGGCATGTGAGCTGTAGGGGGAGCGGTGGCCCCATCTAGGGCAGGGTGTGAGCCCGGATGTCACCCCAGGTCTCTCCACTGAGCACCCCGGGCCTGGGTGGGGGACAGAGGCCCCGGCCTCTCTCACTCTGAGTGGGAGCAGCACTCATGGAATCCCAAACGCACCCCCATCTCACACTTAGAATCTTCCCCTTGAACCCTTAAGTTTTGGGTGTGGCATCCACCTGTCAGGTGACCAAGACCATGGAAGCCTCAGGTGTGTGGGTGTCTGAGACACACCACAGAATGTCACAGTGTGTGTCCTGGGCTTCCAGTCCCAAGTAACACCCGTGTCATCCCGTAGTCTTCAGAGTTGGCCCATGAGGAATCCGAGGCCAGAGGCACTGGATGCTGGTCACTCCACCTGGCCACGGCAGCGCTGACACCAGGACCCCTGTCCTTCAAACCCCCAGTGATGCTCAAAAACCACCCTGGGCCTCCCCACTTGCCCCTGTTGAAAGTTTATGGCACCCCCGGGGGGAGGGGACGGGGCACAGGAGTAGCCGTGCCCCTAGGGAGAAAGCAGTGGCCCCGAGGGGACAGTGCGAGGCGCGGAGAGGGACGGTGGAGGCGCGAGGCCTCCGCCCGGGCCCTGCAAGCCCCACAGGAAGAGGACAGGGGAGAAAAGAGCAGACGCGAAACTGAACCTTCTGCTCGACCGGAGACCTGGGGGGCGTCTGCCCCCCGCCACCCCATCTGTGAAGCGGGGCTGCTCCATCTCTGCGGGCAGCCCCAGGCACCCGGGGTGGGGGGCCTGCCCTGGTCGCATTGGGGTGAGCGGCGCTGGGCTGCCCTTTACTTTGCAGGTCCCACACCCGCCTGGGACAGGGGACCGACCAAATGCCCACCACACCCAAATGGATGGGACACCCCTCTGAACCCGAGTCTCTCCCTCTGTGAAACAGGAAGCAGAGCCCCTCCTCATGGAGCCGTTGGGGGGAAAGGGAGGCGCCCCCACCCAGGAGCCGGGGCTCTCCTCTGCAGAGGAGGCAGCTCAGCTGAGCCACCCGACAGTCTGAGGCCGAGGAGCATAGGGGGCCAGGCTGGAGGTGGGGGGAGCCACAGCCCTTCCCTCTGGCTTCACCCCGCCCACAGAGCGCATGTCCCGCCATGCCTCTGCGTCCCTAATCCCGCGTCCTGCCTTGGCTCTGACTCCCAGAGCCAGTGCGCCGTCTGACTCAGCCCCGCACAACCCCGGTGCCCACCCAGCTCTGCCAGCCCCGTGACGGGTGTCAGACACGTGTGCTGTCAAACACACAGCTGCGAGGTGCAACACAAGGCCGAAAGTGACCCGGGCTGACGAAGCCCAAGACAAGCAGTGCAGGGATCCCGGAGGCGAGATCCGAGAAGGCTTCCCGGAGGAGGTGGCTCTCGTGCCAGCTGAGTTGGTAGTGCCGACAAGCTTTCCAGGGACAGAAAGCCCGGACGGCGGCTGAGGAGAGGGCACGAGGGGCACGTGGGGCCGGAGGGGAAGTACCGAGGTAGGACCCGACCTCAGACCTGGCCTCAGGCAGCTGCCGAGGGGCCGGCGGGGCTCACCTCTGACCACGGGCTGGTGTACCACTTGAAGCAGGGCCTCTCGAAGCACGTGCTCTCCTCCGGCGGCTTCTTGGCCAGCCCGCACTCGGGGCCGCTGCGCGTCTGCGGCCTCCCGTCGGCCAGCTCCATGCACAGCACCAGCCTCTTCTTCACTCCCCGGCCGCACGTCGTGTTGCACTGAGGCCAGGGGACAGCCAGGGGTCAGAGGCCAGAGGCCAGGAGGGTCAGAACACAGGGCCCGCGCGGCTCCGCTGCTAACGGCCCGCTCGATGGCGATGGGGCAAAACGCTTAGAGGGGCGGCAAATTGGCTGAGACTCTTTGGTCGATAACCATTTGGCCCCAAATGGATTTGATCAAAAGCAATTGAGCAGAAAACCATCTGTTTTGAAACAAAATGGTTGATGACCATTTGGCCCAAGATGATTTGGCTACTAGCGGCCTGCCCGAAACAACTGACCAAAAGCAGTCAGGCTGGGGACGATTCATCTGAAACCGCAGGTTGGTGGCCGTGAAGTTGGTCAGGCGAGCAAACGGTTGCACAGGACCCGTGGGCCAAAAGCAAGCACAGCCCGGATGACCCGGTCCCAGGTTTTCCACATATGGGGAAGGCGGGGTGGCGAGGGAGGTGGTGGGGTGCAGATGGCAGACGATGGGGGTTAGTACTAATTCTGCGTGCATCCTTGGGCACTTGTCTCTGTGGACTGGGGAAGCTTTAAGGGGTTTTCCTACTTTTGTTTTTAGCTTTTTCTATTTCAAATTAATTTTTAGTGAATTGTGCCCTCGTAATTTGCAAATTAAACCCTCATTTCAACCAATCTGACCGTCCGGCCACTTGGCTCCCAGCCAAATGCTCTCCCAGTCAGAGGGGCCTCCTGCTGGGCTTGGCACACTCACCCGCTCCCAGTCCTGGGCCAGCCAGTGGGCAGGGCAGTTCTTGTCACCGCAGGGGTGGATGGCCAAAGGCTTGGTCTCCATCTGGCACTGGGACTCCGGCACCACCCGTCCATCACTGGTCTTGCAGTACACGTGTCTGATCATGCGGCCCTGGCCGCAGCTCCCGCTGCACTGCAGGGGGAGGCCCGGGTTAGCGCGGAGCCCTCTCCCAGGTCCCCGAGACGTCATTCCCACGAGAGAGAGGAACAGGTCCCCTGGCAGTGTGGGGCTGCCACTGCCATGGTAACCACGTTTTAAATAACATTTTCTGTTCTAATTACAGAAATATTGCACGCTCGATGAAAAACACACAAAGAGAAAAGCACACCTAAAACATTTGAGGGGCCATCTGTGCACCCAGCACCTAGAGGGGACCCTGGGGAGCATCTGAGCCCCACAGGGAGACAGACAGAGGAGTTATAATACCGGATCGCCATTTGGGCCGCCTGGTTTTGGATAAAGGTATTGATTCTTCATAATAACGAGGAGAAGGGCCATTTCTCCCCGACATCCTCACTCCAGAAAAGTGGGGAGACTGAGGCACAGCCAGGGGAAGCACAACGACCCATTTTCGCTGGCCTTGTACCCTCGCCACCCCTCAAAGCATGCCCCCCTCCCCATGGGGGCCCTGCCCTCACCGGCCCCCAGTCGGAGACAGTCCACTGGCGGTCGCAAGGGGGCCCTGTGCAGTCCTTCTCCCCTATGGGCCTGGTGTTGGAGTCACACAGCTTCTCGTCCTCGGAGCAGCGGATGTCCCTAGTCACCACGCTGTGCTCCCCACATTTGGCGGTGCACTGCGGGGAGCGGAGAAGGGAGGCATCAGGCTGTGGGGACCGCTCCACGCACCGAGCCCCGCCCCCAGCGGCCAAGCCCCGCCCCTGGCGGCCGAGCCCCGCCCCCTGGCGCACGTGCTCACCTCCGACCACTCAGACATCTCCCACTGCGGCCCGCAGGCCGGGTTCCGGCACGTCTTGCGCTCCTCCGGCCGCACGGCCTCGGCCGCCTCGCACAGGTCGCTGTACACCGAGCTGTCGAAGCCAGGTGACAGCATCTTCCAGCAGCGCACGATGCGGAACTGGTAGCCCTCGCCACAGGTGCGAGAGCACTCGCTCCAGCTGCTGGTCTCCCACCTGCCTCAGGAGGGGGAGGGCCTTCAGCGACCCCACTTCCCTTCCCACAGCGCCAGAGAAAGTGCGCCCCCTCTTCCCTTCCCGCCGTGTGGCCCCCAATAACAAGAGTTAAGCCAGACAGGGCGCTGGCGAGGCCCCACGGTGGATGCTGCCGAGTGGAGACCTTGAGTTTTCTGGGAAACCCTTAAGTGGGGTGGGTGGGCGCCAGCGTCTTCTGGGAGGCCAGTGCTGCCTCTGCCTGCTGGCCCCGACACCCGCCCACCTGGCCTTCCAGACTCTCCGGAAGCCAGGTCCTGGCCTACTCCTTTGCTCACCCCGGAATCACCCCCAGAGTTCCAGAGCCCTGAGCCCTGCCACACACCCCGCTTCTAAGAAAGGAGCAAACGTTCGGGGAGCAGAGACCCCAGGGGGATGAGGGCAGAAGTAAAGGGGCACCGAGCAGGACGTGCTTGGCCTCCCAGGCAAGTTTGCCCCTCCCCCCAGTGACAAGTGACAGGAGGCTGGCACCGAGGGTTCGTCTGGGGCCCCTGCACCGGCTCCTGCCATGACTGTGGCGAGGTAGAGGGCACGGTCAGGCCTCAGTCTGACCATCTGCGACACAGGACAGGAGGCCTGAGGACTAGAGAGACAGGGCTGTCGCCCATCCTAGGGACGGCCGGTCTGCTTGGAATTTTGGGTATAATCCCTTTTGGCTCATAAAAATTCTAGCTACACCAAGTAGGCCTGGGGGTAAGGTGTCACCATAATACAGAGTAATGTTCAGAATGGTCTCTCAGTCTGCAGCGGAAGGCAATAATGGCCACCTACTATGTGCGAGGCAAGGTGACAGATTATTCTGCAAAGCACGGGAAGACACAGGACTCTGGCAGGCGGGTCGGTATGGCCCCCTTCTGCCAGTCCCGCCCACAAAGCCCCTTGAGGGAGCAAGGTGCTAACTCCTCTGCTCCTTGGGGCAGAGGCAAAGCCGAGTGCAGCTGCTCAGCCCCCGCCCCACCCCTGCCTGGGGCACTGGGTGGCAGGTACCTGGGCTGGCACTCCCTCCCAGCACAGAACTCCTGGACCGGCTCAGGACGGGTCAGGGCGTCACAGTAGCTGTCGTCCACCTCGATGCCATCATAACGGACACACATGGCGTAGGTCGACATGACCCCTGGGTTCGGGACAAGGGAAGGGGCTGTGAGCCACACGCGAGCACCTTGGAGACCAGCAGACAGGCCATGTGACCTGGGGGCCCAGCTTCCTAGTCTAAATTAGGACTAATGAGAGTAACCAGCTTACAAACTGTGGGAGAACTCGGTGAGGGCGACTCTGTGGAGTCGCTCTCTCTTTCCGCTGTGCCCCAGGGTATGACCTCTTCTCTTCGGACCCCCACCCTCACTCCCACCCGAGCCAGCTCAGGCCGGGCACCCAGTTCATATGTCACACACTCTGGGCTTTGACTAAACTCAAGTTAGAGCTACGGAGGCACACACAGCCAGGTGCCACTAATTGTCATTCACTCGACAACTACCCATCTACGGCGAGTGGGG